TTAACCCATCCTAGTACCAGGAGTCTAGTACTAGGAGCAGTGGGCAGCTATTGCACAGTGCCCGGGGAGCAATGGGAGTGAGGGGGGAAGGGGGGTGTCCGGTGCCTTGCTCAAGGGCACCACGGCAGGGCAGGAGGTGAACTGGGACCTCTCCAAGTAGCAGTCCACACTCCATATTTTAGGTCTGGTCTCAAGCCCTACTGACTGAGCCACTGACAGGAAAGTGATACATTAAGTCAAGGGTAAAGCAAATTAAAATGACACTGTATCACCAGATAATATGACATTGTTAAAGTTTCGTCCTGATTTCTTCCACAGTACATCATAATATACATTATCATACATTATTATTAAAGGGCTTATCCCAGCTCCGTTATCTCTGCATGAGTTATCACCAACACGGGTTGCAAAGTCGACTAATTGATTTGACAAATGTGTGTTTGTGAACGCCCGCCCCCCCACTCGCAGCATGTGATGCAACTCATTTATTTCTCATCAGGAGAGATTTCTGACTTTGAATTTCATCCTCCGGTAATGGATTGGCCACGCAGATTCAGTGTCGCTTTAAAGAAAAGGCCGAGGTATGCATCATGCCTGTCTCTGTTTCCCATTTGCCCTCTTCTGTTTTCCTTTCTCCTGCTTGGCTCTAATATCCAATTTCAAAAAGATCACTGACTCCCCAATCGTCACGTTTGTACGCACAGAGGCTGACGGTGTCCTTCTTTAAGAGGAATAAGACAAAAGCAAAGCAAATAGTATTTATAATCATCTATTCTGGGACTCAAACTGCTCAAAACACGTGTTAGTGGCAGTTTGATTTATTCACCTGAAGCCTGTTATAGCCTAGCTTTCAGAGGTGGAAGAAGTACTCAGATTTAAGTAAAAGTAAACACACTTAATTCTAAAAAATACTCAAGTAAGAGTCCTCAAATCAAATACCATAAATAAAGTACCAAAACAGTAAAAGCACTCGATAAGCTAGTTATATATAATTCATTACCTGGTGATTATTGATGCATTAATGTGTTCATCATAGCTGGTAAAGCCGGGGCTTCTTAATAAAGATATTTTAACCGATAATTGTATGTCAATGTTTACCTATTAGTTGATTTTGATTTTGTATCAGCTAGTAATCTGAATCTGTGAAGTAACTAAAGCTGTGGGAGAAGTGTAGTAGAAAGTACAATCTTGGCTTCTAAAACGTAGTAAAGTTGGAGTAAAAAGTACCATACAATGAACATATTAGTAGTACAATAAGTAATACAAAGTGTTGAAATACTATGTTACAAGTACAATTAAATTATTAAAAATGTTACTTTAGTAAAAGTGTTGGGATAAAATAAACTCAAAGTACAAACTCATTATGGACAATGGACATTTTTATTAATGCATTGTAATTATTAAAGTGTTCATCAATTTGATTTTGCAGCTTGTTAAAATGGAGCTTAATTGAATGACTTTTTACAATGCAAGATATCTTAATGCATAATAATTCATTAGGTGATTTGTATTTTTTAATACATTTGAACCTGCTAAGTGCTGTTAAATAAAGGTAATGCAGTAACAAGTACAATACTGTCTCCCAAAATATACTGGAGTAGAAGTACAACTACCTTAAAATCAACTTCATTGCATTGCTCTATCACACATGATACATCAGTGATAGACAAACTCTAATAAGAATCACCCTCTTTATCAGGTGAAAGCCCCCCCGTTATTCCTGCTTATTTTAAACCCCTCGCCCCCCCCCCCCCTCCTCTCTCTGTCTCCATTGTTACCGCGCGCTTTTAGTTTTTAGTCACATTTGAAGTGCGTTTTCCTCCAAAGTCTCTCAAAGAGTTGAATGTTCATTGAAACCTGCTCAGCCTGCTGTGCGTGAATGAAGGTGAATGACAGGGACCCCCCCCCCCCCTCACACTGTGTTAAACCCATAGGTGAGTTTGAGAGGAGGGGAGGGGGGCAAAAACAAAAAGGTCAGATCAGGTGTTGGGGGGTTGCAGCTTTAGTTTGAGCACGAGTCCTAAAGATACCAGGGGTTTCCTTGCAGAGAGACTTAACTCATATTTCCACCTGCGAGTTACTCCATGTCGGTGTGGAGCTTTGTTTAATCATGAATCGATATTTAACCATTTAAAGCAAAAATACTTTCTGATTCTGATTCTAATTCTGAATGTGCTTTATTTACCTGGACTTGAACACACTACCTGATTTTCCTAATGTTTTTCATGTTAATTCAAATCATTCACGGAACATTCGTAGGCTACATGTGCACGAGCCAATGGATGAACACATGACGTGACCATTTCACGAATTTACGCGAGACTTGGTTGGTTTATTAGTTTGGTGTATTATATTATATATGGTATATTATAGTGTAGTCTAACTTATTCATTTATATTTGATATTATGTGTTGTTGAATCAGAGTCAGGTTTATTGCCAGGTAGGGTTACTGGCATGGCGGACTGGCCATCGGATGGACGTTCGGGACTGAAGTGGGCCGGTCGGACGATGTGGGCCGGTCGGATAAGTCACTAGCACCCCTCCCCCCCGTTGACAATTTACTAGCGGTATTTACTTGCGGTACCGAGGTGGCCCGGCGGTACCGAAGTGGGCCGGTCGAGAGTCCCGGGCTGATTTTAGTCCTAGTCCGCCACTGGTTTTTGGGAATTTACTGAATTTGCATGTCTATTAAAAAAAAATATATTATAAAATTAAAACAATTAGAATTAAGGTAAGAAGAGCAGATGCTTATATATCTGTCTACTGTTGATGTGTAATTATTTCTTAACTTAAAAAATATATATTTATTTTGATTTGTCGTGTAGAATAATGCCAATAACCTGCTGCTATAACCAAAAAATAATTCCCGTATCAATAATGTTAATCTACATGTATCGGATATAAGGAAGGGTCGAAGCAGCAATACGTTTACTGTTTATTACCCAAGTGGTTATTATTTAAGGTTGGATGAATAATTGCTGTGTCATGTTTTCATCACTGGTTTTTCAAGACGCTGGTTTTAAACTCCAGAGGAAGTGTCAGGTGATTAATAAACCTTTCAAAACTAAAAATAACATTGAATCACTTATCAAAAAATATAGTGGTGCATGCATGAGTGCAAAGACTCACATGCTAAGCTTTTGTTTGGCCCTCTGCTTCAGTGATTGATCAGGAACTAAAGGATGCTCACGAGTACTTTTAAAGACTTCTCCATTCTGCTTTTTGGGCGCGCGGACAGCATTGATTATTAGACATTTTTGGGGATGAACCCACACCCACCCACTGGTCCATATTGTTGCAGAGCCTCAGACTGGCTTTACGGCCGCTGGCGTCGCGCCCTGCTGAGGCGCGCGACCCTCAGACTGAACACACAATACATTCCTCGAGCTGCACACACTTTTAGCACCATTTGTGTCATATATGAAGCCATGGGGGGGTTGACACAAATTAGGGGTCGTGTGCAATGGCATGCACTATACGCCAAGTTTGCAGATGGCTTCACGCACAGGTTGGCGAGAAGAGGAGAAATAGTGGAATATCGGGGTTTTTGGGTCAATTTTGCGTAGAGATGTGCGAGTTTTACCTTTTGAGTTGTTCATTTGGCAGCTGAATGATTGATTAATGCCACAGACTGTACAGGTGTGGTTTTATATTAAGGATGTGATAGGAACACGTCAATGAAAACAGTAATTAAAAAGAACGAGATGCATACATTTAGGGCTAATGATTATTACATTTGTTTCAAAAAATACATTACAGTTTTGGAGTTGATTCATAAATAACCCTTTCTGTTGATAGATTCTTAGGTTACAATAAAGGCAATTATAATTCAACAATCAGAAAACTCAACAATAACTATTTTAAATGCTCAGTTTTAGTTGGGACTATTTTTGTAATATTTTATTTTGAGGCTGAGTTTATTGCTTTGGACATTTCTTTATTTATTTAAATAATGTTGTCCACTTAATTGACATATATAAGGAAGCATGTCATAAGCATTAGTTAGAATAATGCTTTCATTGTCTGTTGTACATTACACTGTGTGGTATCCTATATATTTACATGTACTCTTTATATATTTTATAACTTAAATATCACTTATTTATTTTGATTTCTATATGTATTTTATTGTTGGTCATTGCTGCCTTTTTGTATTTTTATACACCTATGTTTTCCCATATGTGTCCTTCTTGTAAATTAAGTATACATTGAGAGGAATGGGGAGAACACATATGATTATGAGTGTATGCATGCAAACAGTTTGTTATAAGCTTGAACTTGCATTGGTCTTATCTTCATGTTTATCCTTTATTATTATTTGTTTTTTAAATGTTTTAATATAGAGGGGACAAATACAATTAATCGAAAGTGATTTGCTGCATGTGGCTCACAACAGGCTGTCTGTGCAATACAGTAATAATTTACCACATGAACCAGATGATTTCACCTCGCAGTGGTCACGTGCTGCCCCACTTTCCTCCCTGCAGTGGACTCAACACACAGTCAGCTATCTGAGACTCCTCGCCGGTTAAACAGGACCTTCAGAGACTGTGAACTGACGCCCTGTCCCGTCCGAGCGGAACTGTGACGGCGTCTCTGATTGGACCAAAGTTTCCAGCATCAGCCAATCCGCGCACAGCACTGAACCCTCTCGACCAATCAGAGCGAGGAGCGCTGACGGGCACCGAGAGGAGCTCCGCTACTTTTGACGCTCTGCTCTCACTTTGAACCGGTGTCAACAAACAACAACAACAACAATATATTCCTCCAGCTTCACCGACATTTCCAATACCTCCTTATTCTGGCGATTTAAACCGAGGAAACTACTTTTTAACATCCTAACAAATCCCATTTTCTCCTTTTTTTTTCGGAGGCTGACCTCCAGGAAAGCTTCATCTCAGGCGGAGAAAACGCGATTTCCACGCCGACTTTGCTGCTTCAAACTCGGTGTTGGAGCTACAGCCTCCCCGGCAGGAGGAGGTCCCTGAAGGCACCGCGGTGCTGGAGGTACTGAGTGCGTTGGCGGGGTCAATCCCCAGGATGATGCGATCCACGCTGGCTCAGAACTACCCCCGCAGTGGCTTCCCACTGGAAGGTAAAAGGCATCACATTAACCCAAAGGAAGCCCTGGATGTTCAGAAAATATGTTTATTTCAGAGCTAAAATCGCTGTCAGGCTGCTTTCATTTAACCATTTCACTTTCTCTCAACATCTTGGATTAGAAAAACTAACTTTTTGCAGTTTTGGTTGTACAAGTTTCGTAGGATTACATTTTAGTCGCTGAACTGACATATTTTGCAATGTAGGCTATTTATCCTTTTATTTTTAAGCCAGAGACTTGTTTGTTCAACACAAAAATAAAACTGTGTGCAGTTATAGGTCTATACAGAATTATATAATTACTTTTCACCAGCTGAACTGAGATATTGTGTAATAGTTATCATTTCTCCAGGCCACATTTATGAAGCCACATGCTTTCTTTCCACACCTCTGCTAAGAAACACGGGACTCTAACGTTTTATAGAGTTACTTCTCAGCAGCCAAACTCACATCTTTTTTTATATATGTATTATGATTTAGGATACTTTTATGACCTCGCCTTAGAAACCCAAACTGTGTTCAGTTGCAGGACTCAAACGTTTTTAAGAATTACATCTCAGCAGCTGAACTGACATATTGTTATATAGCCTATGTATTGCTTTTAGGCCACTTGCAAGACTTTTCTTCCAAACCTCGGCTTAAAAAACACGAACTTTGTGCAGAAATTACATGTTTTTGCGATATTTATTTTGTATTATACTCTTGCAGCCCATCGTCTTACATTTCTTGTTTAGCAACACACTTCCGTGCAGCCTTTATAAATGATTAGGCTATTAACAATATTGCATACAATAAACACGTATTTAATGGAACCATTCATGTCATAAAGGTGCGTAAAAATGTAACTCATTTATTATCAGCTGTTTGGGAGCAGTTAAAAAACATACTGCTTAATTCTTTATTATGTTGTTATATTAAAGGTCAGTTGAAGCTCCTCTGTGGACAGCATGGTGACACCAAAGACAACTTTAATGGGATCATATTATGATAATATCTTATTGCGTAAAATGTAATTTATTATCAGCTCATCAGCATTTTAAGAGCTGCTAAAAACACACGGCTTCAGTCTATATGATATGATGGTAGATAAAGGGTCTTTTTGAAGTCCAATAACATCATGTTCTCATCACTAAAGTGACCCTCACCTCTCGTATTTTTTATTTTATTTAAACATGTAGTGTCTACCCCGTTGGGTCAGGGCCGTGTGAACCAGCTCGGAGGAGTTTTTATAAACGGCAGACCTTTGCCCAACCACATCCGACATAAGATCGTGGAGATGGCGCACCACGGAGTCCGGCCGTGCGTAATCTCCCGGCAGCTGCGCGTCTCTCACGGCTGCGTCTCCAAGATCCTGTGCCGGTACCAGGAGACCGGCTCCATCCGGCCCGGGGCCATCGGGGGCAGCAAACCCAAGGTATAGAGAATATATACAATACATGTGCCATGAATCCATGTTAAATCCTTACATTATTGTCAAAAATCCATTAACGTGTTGTGTTTTTTTTGGAGACATTGTACGCATTGTGCCCCCAGGGCCACAACAAAGTGACTAAACTGTGCCACTTTTCTGACCTTTTGAAGCAGGGGACCACGCCGGACGTAGACAAGAGAATAGAAGATTACAAGCGGGAAAACCCGGGTATGTTTAGCTGGGAGATTCGGGATAAATTACTGAAGGATGGGATATGTGACCGCAACACCGTGCCTTCAGGTAAAGAAGGGCAGACGTGAAATAATAAAAAATATAACCATAAAATCACAATATTATCATAAAGCCTGGTCAAAAGTGTTCATTTATAAGCTTGATTGGTATTATATATTTTACTTCATTTTATGTTCGACATGTAATTCAGTCTTTATGATCTTAAAAAATGAACTTTGACCATACAGGCTCGTTGAACTTTTTTTCCTATATTTTGCACTAAAAAACTGAACAATTAGGAGAGGATTAAGATAAACAACTCAAAACAAAACTCAACACTTTTTTCAATCACATATATTTCAGACTAATGGCCTATTTGCTGTCATATAACAGAGCGGTGCCAATTAACATTTCTAACAGTATTTTTGGAGAAAAAAACAATAGACATTTTGTTGATTTCCACTTAATGAACATTATTATTGAAACAAATATTATATTACTTCATATCATTTTGTAAAAAAATTACTTTTACCATTTTATTATACAGCCTAAACGAACATTGTAATGTATTTTTAAATTAAAAAAACGTAACAATTAGTAGGCTAAAGTTATAAAAACGCACATTCTTTAAACAAAACTACCATTACTTAAGTGTTTCAACTTTTTTAGTGACTTATCCCAACTTCTACACTGTTATTTATTTCAAGGTGCAAATTATCACTGTTTTCCCCCCAAAAAAAACGACATACTTTTTTGTAATTTCCACTTTTTGACCGGTTTTACGCAGTGAGCTCCATCAGTCGCACCATGCGGAGTAAGTTCGGGGGGAAAGGCGACGAGGAGGAGGATGAGGAGGAGCTGGAGAGGAAGGAGCTGGAGGAGAGCGACCGGAGGGCCAAACACAGCATCGAGGGCATCTTAGGAGACAGATGTGAGTGAAATCTCCTCTTATTGCTGCTAAAGTGGAAGACCTTTATCTCCCTGAACATCAGTGAGCTCACACACACATCAGGTCGGATCAGATATGGTGCAGTGAGTCCACGAGGGAGGGTTTTTATTATGATTTTTACTGCTAATCTGCGGTGCTTTTTGGAGTGAAAATGTACCATATGAGTCCATCTATATTCTCTACATTTGCGGATTTGATTACAGAAGATAGTGCTCTTGTTTCCCTCTTGCAGACATGTGTGAAGCTGCGACCTGTTGATGGTTACAGCCGGCTGTAAAGCAGAGTTTATTTGCTGGTGTAACTGCAGGGCTCTCTGTGGAGTTTTAGCATGCTGTAAAGTGGTAGGATGGGGGTGGAGTGTGTGTGTGTGTGTGTGTGTGTGTGTGTGTGTGTGTGTGTGTGTGTGTGTGTGTGTGTGTGTGTGTGTGTGTGTGTGTGTGGGTGTGTGTGTGTGTGTCGTCCTTTGTTAGGAATTCTTTATCGACCATATCTCTCCCGCTAATGCTTTTCCCATGAGGCCTCACCGTAAATCAAGCAGCAGGTGATGGTGAGGGCGAAGTGTGTATTCTGTGTGTGTGTGTGTGTGTGTGTGTGTGTGTGTGTGTGTGTGTGTGTGTGTGTATGTGTGTGTGTTCAGCAGTGTGCATGAATAGCCATGTAAGTCTGCATATGCACATATTCTATAGAAAAACACTTGTATTCTTGTGGATTACATTACCAACTCGGTGCAGCATTATAAATCGCTCCATTATTTATTATTAATAAATGATGAAAACATAGTTTACATTTCTCTTGGCTCCTTTGCTTGCTAGGCTGTTTATTATTTCATGCAACGACACAGGACAGGGTGCATTAGTAAAACGTGACCAACTGCCAGATTCAGTCCCAGAAAAATATATTTTTAACATGTGAAAATAATTTAAATAACTTTTTGATTTAATTTAAGATTGGGTTTGTTTCCAGTGAATTTAAACGATGTTGTAACAAAATAAAGTGATTTAAAGAACCCGACACTTTTGACATCCAACGATTTTGCAAATTGGTTGCAGTTTTTGTACTTAATTGTAATGCAACCATGGTACAAGTGATGAATGATTCATATTGGGTTATTAAAAGAGAACAACCGAGTCTATTAGAGATTTAGATAAGGTTACTGCTCAAAACAAGTTTCATTAAGCGATTTTTTAAACCAAACAAGATACCCACTTTTTGTTCACAAAAACGAATTGAAAGATGTTAGGGTATATATAGGCTAGAGTATTTGTAGTAAAGTATGTTTTTCAAGCCAAGGAATATTTACTTTATTTTCTTAATTTTAGTTTCACAGACTGTAGCCTGATTGGAGGAGTTGTTGGCACAGTAATCTTTAGGCCAATTAAGCACATTTTAGATGTAATTAGGTCAGTTTTTACAGATGTCATTAGAGTGAAACTTATTTATGCTTACATTTCCAAATGATCCATAATGAATCCATGTGAGTTTCTCTTTGTATAAAAACAAACTGGTATGATGGTGTGCTTGCCATCCATTAACTGGCTGAATGCAATCAATGTAAACATTTTTCTTTTCACTCTGGAAAAGTTAATTACACTTCTTCTCTGTGGGCTCAGTGTGTGGCAGCGAAACTGAAATGGGGCTGGCTAATTCCTGAAAAACACTGTGAGGTGATGATAGTTAAGCCAATTAACCCTCAGTCAATTTACAACACCCAAACATAAATAAAGTTAAGAAATGTCAACGAAATACATCAAATATAACACTTAACGAACAAGTCACTTAAACACATGACACCAGAGATTAGACGGATCCCAAGATGAGTTTTTAACACGTTTTAAAGAAGTTTAAGCAGCGAGATGTCAACATGTAGTCAGAGGTGTAAAAGCAACTGTACATTTACTACTGTACTTAAGTGAAATAAACTACATGTATTTAATACCTTTAGTTACTTTACAGATGTGGATGAATGATGTGAAATATAATCAAGTGTTAAATCAGACTTTAGTTCTACCTGGAGTAAATTCACAAGCTACCCTGCAGTATACAAAGTTATTCAAACTAGCTGCACCTTTACCAGCTTTGAGAACACTTTCATGATCAATCATTATAAAACATATCTCATATATATTATTCTGAAATGGACCAATCTGCACAATGACTACTTTTACTGTCGCTACTTTAACTATATTTTGATGATAATACTTTTCTACTTTCACTTGAGGAACATTTTGAATGCAGGACTTTTACTGTAACAGAGTATTCCTACACTCTGGTACTTCTACTTTTACTCAAGTACAAGATCTGAGTACTTCTACTTTTACTCAAGTAAGATCTATCTGAGCAGCCTACTTCTACTTTTGTCTCTGCACATATGTCACCAGACATTAGACGGCCCCCAATATGAGTTTTTCCAACACTTTTTAAACACTTTTTAAGTCAGTTTTAGCCGCGAAATGTCTACATCCTCGCATCAGTAACACTGGGGGAGGAGACATAAAGGAGACAAAATGTCCCACGGATGAGTTGATCAAACATTTGTTCAATGGGGGAGGATGAACTTGGGAGACAAAGGCGGGAGAGTCTATTTGGGGACAAAAGGCCAGCTTGGAAACAGCTTTGAGCAAAGAATAAGAAGCTGTTTATAATTCAGTCAGAGGGAGAAAAGCTCGTGCACAGAAAGGCCTCAGTGAACACACTGACAGAGAAATGAAGGATGAATTATTCAGCGAGAGAAAATGGCCGTTTTCACCTACAAAATGTTTCCTTTGGGCTGTAAAGAAGCCCGCTGCCATTCAGGAGGACAATAAGGGTTCTGAAATCCACCCACGTAACTGCCCGAGGATGCGTGCGCGCCCCCGAGACCTGCACACACGAAGGTTGCACCCGTGAACGCGCACACAAACACGCATTGAACACTTTTTAGCCTTGAGATTTTCAGAGTAAAATGTGGGAAAAGGAGAAGTTTCTCGGAGAGTTTGGATATCATTTTGAGAGGAAGAAGTGAAATAAACTGCAAAACAAGGTCAGAAATACATATTTAAGGTTAGGTTATATTGTGGAAGAGAACTCATTTACAATACGAGTTAAAAAACGAAAATGAAAAAAATCCTATAAGCACTAAGAAAAACAAATAATACACTTGTACAAAATGTAATTCAATGATGGATAAAATAACTCAAAAACCCCTGTTTTTCGCAAATTACATGAGTAGTGTATTTGTTTCTTTAAACTTTGAATAGCTTTTCTTGCTGTCACGTTGCATTTGTAAAAACCAATTGCTTTTCAACAGAGAAACGTCACGTGTCAGCAGATTTTAATGAAGCCGAATGTCCTATAGTTAGAAGCCTAGTTTGTCATCATAATATATTCAGACTGTAATCATCTCTCTGCGCCTCGGAGGAAGATGCTTCACTGAAATGAAATGTAGACGAGTTGTGAAAAAAAAAATCCAAATATCCTATAGGCACCGAGAAACACAAATAATTAACCAATCAATACAATTCAATTGCGGACTCAAAACTGCACGAGTAGTTTATTTGTTGGAGTCTTGCTGTCCTGTTGCGTTTGTAAAATCACCAATTTAAAACAGAGAAACGTGTTGTGTCAGCAGAATTGAATGAAACCTATAATTTCCCTGTTTGTCATCTAACATTCAGACCCTAACCATCTCTCTGAGCCTAGACTGGAAATACATTGAGGCAGATCACTTATTTACAATAAAGACAAGTTCAAAAGCAAAACAAAAAATCCGACAGGCACCGAGAAACATACACAATAAACCTAACAATAAAATACAATTATGGATAAAAGAGAAGAAAGGAGAAATACTGTTTTCCTAAATTGCACGAGTCGTTTTTAAACTTCTAATAACTTTCTTGCTGTCCTGTTGCATTCGTCAAATCATCGCCAGCTTAACTTCTCTGTCTGTAATAATATATATTACTATCCAGCCTGTATAACGCCTCAGAGGGAGCTAACAGGCTCAAACTCATGATCTATTATTGATTCTTTTGATGGCGGCCGCGCACATTAATAATGTCCTCTAAATGATGTCGATATTGTGCCATGTCACATTTAATGACGGAGGGAGTGTATTAAAGAGTGCTTTCGCTGAATGGAGACCAATGTTCTCCCCGGAGAGCCCCGGTGTTGCCCGGAGCGCAGCGGCACAAAGAGGAGGGGGGGGGGGGGGGGGGGGGGGGGGGGGGGGGGGGGGGTGGTCCGGACACCCGTCCTGCCCCGCGAACAGCTCCAAAACTCCCCCCCTCCTCCTCCTCCTCCTCCTCCTTAGAGATGGCAAAAGTACACACACCCTTTACTCAAGTATGTACAGATACTCGTGTTTAAAAATACTCTGGTAAAAGTAAAGAAGTATGGGCTTCTAAATGTACTTCAGTAAAAAGTACCCATAACTAGCAGCTGTTTTAAAGAGTACCTGACCTCCCTTTTTATTAATAGAACAATAATGTCATTGTTAGCTAATGAATGTTTCCATGCTGAACAACGGCAACATGACAACGTTTTCATTGGTCCCTCTTCTTTAGAGAAGACCAGGAAATGATGGATACACGGATCGTGTTCAAATCAATAGGCACGCAATGACTCTAAATAATAATGATCACGCCACCAAACACACATTCAAACTAAAGGAACCAGCCTGTTTGGGAAATGAGAGAAGTAGAAAGTACAGGTATTTGAGTTCAACATGTAAGAAGTAGAAAGTACAGGTATTTGTGTTTCAAAATGTAAGAAGTAGAAAGTACAGGTATTTGGGTTCAACATGTAAGAAGTAGAAAGTACAGGTATTTAGGTTCAAAATGTAAGAAGTAGAAAGTACAGGTATTTGTGTTCAACATGTAAGAAGTAGAAAGTACAGGTATTTGAGTTCAACATGTAAGAAGTAGAAAGTTCAGGTATTTGGGTTCAAAATGTAAGAAGTCAAAGTAAAAAGTCGTCAGAAAAATAAGAAGTGGAGTAAAGTACTG